GAAAGTACAGGTTGCCATGTTTCATTTAGCATAAATTCCCAAATGCCTACATAATCTGTTCCTTGCCTGCCTCTCCATTCTAATTTTGTGTTTTGCTCCTCCTCCTTTTCTGTATATCTACACTGTCATTTCTTGGCTTCAGACTAAGTTAGGTTCTCTATTAATAGTCTCTCCTAGTACTCCTATTACAGTATTTATAAAAAAAACTTAGGGCCGGCTGAGTGGCTCAGTTGGTTAAGAGCTCGCTCAAGTGTTTGAGCTCTGAGCAACAGCGATTCAAGTCCAGCCCAAGCTGAGCTGCCGCTGAACTGCCAACAGGTGGCAGGATGGCTCAGCTAAAAAAAAAACACCAAAAAACAAAAAACTGTATAATTGATTATTAAATGTCTCTTTCTGGCCAAGAATTGAGTCAGTAATGATTATTGAATCATCATTGTATATAGAGCCTTTCAAAAGTCCACAAAACTTGAATCGATGACTGAATAAAGGGGAGATGTTCCTCTCCTTTTATAGATGAGGAAACTGATTTTAAAAGTTCAATAAAATGGAAAATAAGTTGATAAGGATGTGGAGAATTGGAACTCTCACATATTGCTGGTGGGAATGTTTAATTGTACAGCCATTATGGAAAGGTTGGCATTCTTCAAAAGGTTAAATAGAGAGTTACCATATGACCCAGAAGTTCTGCTTGTAGGTATTTACACAAGAGAATTAAAAACACAATTCATTCACACAGAAACTTGTCCATGAATGTGTATAAGTGTACAAGCCAAAAAGTGAAAACAACCCAAATGTCCATCAACTGATGAATGGACAAACAAATGTGGTATATCTATTCAATGGAATAGTATTCAGTCATATAAAGGAATGAAGTACTGATACATGTTACAACATGATGAGGCTTGTAAACATTATGCCTCACGAAAAGCCAGATACAAAAGGCCACATATTATATGATTTCCATTTATATGAAATGTCCAGAACAGGCAAACCATAGAAATGGAAAGTACATTAGTGATAGCTGAGGATGGCAAGGGGGGAATGAGTAGAATTTCTTGTTGAGATAATGGAATAATATGGAATTAGATTGTGTTGATGGGTACACAACATTATACTAAAAAATACTTAATTGTACATTTTAAAATCTGTGAATTTTATGGTATGTGAATTTTATATCAATAAAAAAGTTACAAGAAAAGAAGTTATTTAACTTGTGTAAGGTGATAACTTGGTGAGCCGCAAGATACAAACCCTTTCTGGAAGCCAACACCCATTTTGCTGCCACCTATGGTGGCCTGTAGTTACTGTCAGTCACCACCAGATGGTAGTGTTGAACAGAAATGTGTCCTGGGGACAATCTGTGGCTCTGCCCTGAATTACTTTTATGACAGTCATAAAAGATGATTGTCAAAATTGTGGGTCAATTAAAAAGAAAAATGTGCCTTCTGATTGAAATATACACCACCACCTATAACGTATTTTTGCATCAGAGTAAACCAGAAGCAGACAAAGCCTTTAGATCTGACGACTACTTTTTAGGGATTTAACAGGGAACAGAGGAACATGTGAAATGGCACCATGGCAATACAATCAGCAAAATCCAGACTGTGAAAATTCAGGATAAATGATCCAATTTTTTCAACAAATTGTAAAGAAAAACAGAGGGAGGGAGAACCTTTAGATTAAACGTTCCTTAAGAAATACATCAACCAAATGCAATGTGTGGACTTGTTTCAACTCTAATACAAACAAATCACTGTAAAAACATTTTCTTGAGACTATTTGGGGAATTTTTTAGTCACTTTTAGAAACGTGATATTAATGAACAATTTTTAATTTTGTAAGATGATGGTAACATGGTTATTTTATTTTTGAGTCCTTGTCTTTTTGAAATACATACTGAAATATTTACAGTTGAAATGATAAGAAATTTGGGATATGCTTAAAAGTGAGTTACGTAGGATTTTTTAAAGGTGGTAAATAGCAGGAATAACCTGAAATTTGGGAACCTAAATGTATACATTAATTCATTCAACAAACATCCTTTGAACACCTACTTTATTTGAGGCATGTGATTCTGAGAGAGAACATTTTCAGAGTAGTAAATGAACTACTGAAAGGTGAGATGGTATAAATGACTGACCTAACTGATGAGAGTAGTAGTGAAGGAGTGATAAGAGTAAATTATAGTTAGTTAAGAAATCTAAGGTTTTTTTAAAGTAAACTTTTATTTGTAATATTAAGAAAGAAAAATGCACAAATAATAATTGTATAGTATAAAAACTTTTTACAAAGTGAATACCCTGGTGTAGCCAGCACCCAGGGAGAGTTGAATTTTGAACAAAATATTCCTTGTAGCAATGGAGATGCATTAGAGTAGAAGTGGAGATCTTAAGCAAAGAAGGAATTAAAAATGCAAAAGCAGCAGATCCTCTTAAAATTCGAGGCTAAATATTGCTCTGGAGATATGAGACTTGAAAAACCATCTGTAGATCTGCTGGAGTCTTAGGGCAGCTTAATGAGCAGAAAATGGAATATATGTATATATATATTTAATATAAATGTCAAAACTTGTGCTATTTATAACTGAGGAACAAGTATTTATTAAATTCATTAAATCAAATCATTATTTACAGGTTTAAAAAAGTTATTGCAGCTATTATTGACTTTTACGATTTATATATTTGATTTTCTCAAGGTCACATCCAGAGCAGGAGCTGCAGTCTTTTAAGAGGCTTAGGTTTGTTCAATATTTAAAAATCACCTGTGTGGAAGAATTTCTTAAGTTAACAATGGTTATCTTTAACAGTAAGACTGAAGCCCATGCTATAGGCTTGCTGTAGCCATTCCTGAGGATAATGTTCTATAAAGTAGTTGCTTTATATCCTATTTTGCTGATTAGGAAATAGGCACAGATAGGCTAAGTAACTTGTCCATAGTCATATCACGGTGTTTAGTGGCAGAGCTGGTATTTAGACCAAAGCTGGCCGGCTTCAGAGTTAATAGGGTTGTTGTGAAGATTCTTAGTTATAAATATAAGTCACTTAAAACAATGCCTGACTCCATGTGTATAATAATAATTTTTAGGTATCATTAATGTTATTGTAATTATCAGTATTTCAGAGAGAAATTCTGGTAACACAAGGAAATCTCCCTTCCCACATGGGAAGAAGTCCCACTTGAGTCTTTTAAGTGGATGAATTGCTATGAGACTTCCATATTTATAGCGTAGATGAAATGCACATTTAAAAACATCTATTTGGGGGGCTTTTGGAAGTTAAAAAATTTTCTAAATTCCCTTGAAAAGAACTTCATATGAGTAGTTAAGGTTTGTTTTCTATTGAGAATATAATTTAAATGAATGTTAACTATTCCAATTCCTGTTGTAACAGAATTGAAGCAGGATGGTGGTAAGCCCTATCTCACAGTAATTACGGGGAGAGGAAACCACAGCCAGGGAGGAGTTGCTCGCATCAAACCAGCCGTCATTAAATACCTAACAAGCCATAGCTTCAGGTGAGTGTAGATTTCTGTTACCAGTAATGGCAATTGCCCATATAGAGATAAACACAAAGAGTGTGCTCAAAACGATTTCTTTTTTTTTTTTTTCTTTTAAAGATTTTATTGGGGAGTTTGGGAAGGGAAACAGTGTTGAGGAATTGGGGAAGGGGAACAGCCAAGTTGTTGTCCTTCAATCTTATTTGTGGAGGGCACAGCTAGTTCAGCTCCAACTCTAGTCGCCATCCGGCCGCCCGTTGGCTGCTCAAGGTGCCCATGTTTAATCTTAGTTGCAAGTGGGCGTAGCCCACCATCCCATGCGGGAGTCCAACTGGCAACCTTGTTGTTAGGAGCACGTCCTCTCACCAGCTGAGCCATCTTGCCACCTGTTGGCAGCTCAGGCTCAATGACTGGCCCATGTGGGAATCGAACTGACGACCCTGTTGCTCAGAGCTCGTGCTCTTAACCAACCGAGCCACTCAGCCGGCACTCAAAACGATTTCTTAAAATAGTTAACTAAATTTAACCATCTGATTTTAGCCGCAAAGTCATGCTTAAATTATGATGTAACATTCCCTGCTGGATTTATGATGTCCAGTAAACCAGAAATGAAAGAAAATGTGTTTATTGTTGAAATTATCATCTGACAAAACTATTTGTATCATAAATTTTAACTCTAAAAGGAAATAAGTATATTTGTATTTCTTTGATAATGTATTATCCAAGGTAGTTAGATTACACGCATCATAGTTTAAGGGTACAGTTTAATTGTTTCTTTGAAAGTAAATATATATTTATGGATTTTGGCAGGAATTGGGAGCTTGTGCGGGAAATATGGTTATAATTTGGATGTGTTTAAACTTTAAAGAAAACATTCCAGTTGGTATGAATTTATACATCTTCATAAGTTAAATGCTATTGGTAATATTAGTTGACAAATATGAAATGTCTTTTTTCATCAAGTGATTATAATTCAAAAACAGAAAATGACAAGAGAAATCCAAGAATAAAGATCTGTTGATAGATTCCCTGAGGTTGTATATAATTAAGTACCCTCCTCCCCCTACTCCTAGTTTCAATTAGTGTAGCATATTTTGTTTATGTCATGTAATAAAATGTTGTTTCGTTACATTATAGAAAATAGTAGTATTAATTCTGAGCATGAAAACAGATGACATTTCAGAGGTACTTTTACAAAAGGAGTAGTTAGACCAGAACATTATCGTGTTAGGATTAATGATCCATTTTAGAGACTAGTGTTTTTTTTAAATTTCACAGTGAGGGAGTTGAAAGCTTTCATGGCCTGATTAATCAGACTTACCTATTATATTAGAGATTTCTTCTTGGTACTGACTTAATGCATAGAAATAATGTAATGCAGATATCATCTTATGCTTGATCCAGCATGCCCTTTTTCATGAAGGTCAAATTCAGGCTCGAGAATTTTGAAAAATCTTAAATTATAATAACTATTAAGTTAGGAGTAACCCCCAGCCATAGGATTGTATTTATTTTGATAATAGATTAAAAGGAACATAAGCATAGACACTGGTCCTTGATATTGACTTAATAAACGAGAGTACTTTGATAGTAAATATTATATTTAGCATAGGCACTTGGAATTAATTATCAGTATATTCCTTAACCAGTTTGAAATTTTTATCTTTAAAATGACTCTTCTCTCATTTTTGCAGGTTCTCTGAGATTAAACCAGGGTGCTTGAAAGTCATGCTTAAGTAAAATAAACGTCCTTGACTTAGAAGAGTGAAAGTTTGTAGGTTAATATTAGTTTTATTTGCATTTAGTAAATTTTACTCTCAACATGTGTTTTATTAGAAATAATGTCTAGTTGTAAAACAAAAAAACGTGATGTTTTTCAAAATTTAAGAGAAATTTAATTTTTTACTGAGTCAAATGCTAAATATGTCTGTTAAAAATATTAAAGAAAATTTTTACTGATTACAAATTGTCCAGGAAAATTATCAGCTCCAGTTTTAATGTTTGAAAGTGTGCTGATTCTTTCTGAGAGAGAAAATGTTATCTTTGTACTAATTATTTTACATTTAATGAGGTCTTAAAGGTGTCTATTAGAGGTATTTAAAGTGCTTTGAGATCTGGTTCATGACTTTCAAAGGCTGGTATTAAAAAAAGAAGAAGAAGAAGTAATGAAAGAAAGAGCTAACAAAGACACTGGAATGCTTTCAAAACAAAATTTAAAAAATAATTTTATTTTGCTACATCCTACAGGAAGGAAGACATGCTGTTGCACTTTCTTCTGGTTTGCGTTTGTATGTGACCTTGATCTCTTAACATTTGTTTCTGTTTGTCTGTGTGTGTGCATTTTCTAGGAGGAAAGTTGGGGTCTGAGATTATATTGCAGTTTTATACCTTCCATAGGCAGAAAAGTTTTCAGAGAAAGAGAAATGGCTAGATATCTACCAGTTGTTGCCGACTTTTGGAACTGCTTCTAGAACTGTCTATATAAGTGGTATTTAAGACAGTACTAAAGAGTTATCTTTTATATTGAGGCATGTAATTTCTAAACTGTAGTAGGTCAAAATCCTAGTAACTAAAAACAAATATAGAAAACATTTTTGATATAAAAGGAATTCTTACAATTTAAAAGTTTTTTACCTTTATTTTTCAAAAAGAGCCAACTTCCTAAAAGAAAACTTTCATTGACTTCTGTTTTTTGGTGAGCTCAAGTCTTGTGTGTCAATTATAATTTCCTTTATACAAGTTTAATGTGGTAAAGTATAATTTTCCAATATGAGACAATGGCTTAAATAAATTTGACTTTGGGGATATGGAGAATATTTTCAACATATATAATGTTAACAATTAATTGTGTTGCTTTTTGATAAGCTTAAAAAGTTATTTGGATAAAGAATTACAAAATTGAGCTGTTACTGAAGGAATTCTGAATTATAGATTGGCTTCCCAAAAGAACAGACATTTTAATGAAAATAAAACTCAAAAACATGTTTTTATATATCATGAAAGCATGCTTTAAAAAAAAAGAACCGTATTGTTGATTTTACTTTCACAAAAATAAAAATATGTTTATTATTTTTAAATGGTTACTGACTGGTATTGACGTATTATTCACATTCTTATGTTTGTAATAATTTGTTAAAAAGAAGAAAAAAATGCCAACAGTTTATCATATGTTTTTTGTAATGCCTAGAAGAGTTGTATACATTAAAAATAAAACAATTTTGTTCAACAATTTATAAAACTGCAGTTATTAGTTAATGATGCAAAATATTTTTATGTATAAATTAATACATAAGAAATGCGACTAACAATACTAAAACCTGGAGCTAATTGAGTGTGTGCAGCAGCATATTCATTTTTTGTGTTTTCATATTTCCTCACCCAGTTTGAAAAAAAAGTTGCTTTTGAGCACTTCAGCTAGACTTATTTCAGTATTATTATAATTATGATTGATGTGGGAACAGTCAACAAGAACAAGAGGTGAGATATTTTTTGGGCAGAAACCAAATGAAAACAGCTATATTCTATATTGTATCAACTTTAATTTTATGCTGTATTTTGGTATATCTAGGGCATTAATCGTCATTCATAAATATATAGGCACATTTTAAGCAGTAAATGTATTTTTATGAAATTGCTTAATCCCAAACTGCCACCTACCCATCTAGCATAGTTTAAGCAACACATAATTACAAGTATGAAAGAAAATTGTATAATTATTCCATTCTTGTTTTTCCATTTCTAAATCCTATGTGCCAAAGGTAAACATAGTTTGGTGATTATCAGATTTTTCTCTTTTGCCCATTTCTAAATCCTAGGTGTCAAAAGTAAAGATAGTGTGGTGATTTTCAAAGTTTTCATGGGTTGTTATATTTGTGCTAATACTTGATTCATTAGAATGGCTCTTTGAAAAAGTATTTACATTTGAAAAGTGTAACACTAAAAAAAGTGTAGTTTGGAATGTTTTTGTAACATTTATATCTTTCAATAGTCTCACCAGTATCTACCAGGGGAAAAAAGAGAACTAATGTGAAACTACAGGGGACATGGTGTTAGACTGAGGGGACTCTTAATAGTATTTTTAGTCCATCAACTTGAACTTGAGAAATGGAAGCATGTTGTCTTACATTATTAGCTGTTCATATATCTCAATTATATTATTTTCAAATTGAGTTTTTTTTCAATTTATTAGTGTTTCCATACTATTTGCAATTCTGTGGCCTTTAAATATAGGACATAGTATATAGAATTTTTTCTTTTTCTTTTTAAATTCAAGTGTTTTATATGATTAGAAAAAGGACACGTAATACCAAGATTCATTATTTCTGAGCTAGAAATTGGAAACTTTGAAACTCAGGAAATTGCTCTGACAATGTTTTAACTGTGCTCTCATTTAAGAAAATGACAGAATGTATAAAAAGACACAAAAATAATGTGTGCTGTTTTTTCCAAGTGCTTTTTCTAAATGCTTTTCCATTGTGCAATGAGGTGAAGTTCGATAATTTTTCTGTGTATTGGTTAAATATTGCTTATTTTTATTTACATGTTAAATAAATTTAAATGTTTGTGTGGCAAAAAATGTCATTTAAAAGATAAAGTAAGTTTATGTAGACTGTATGTTAATGGTGCTTATTTGAATAATGTAATCAAGTTTACAGTATTATTTAATGCCTCTTTATAGAATTTAATAGAGAAACAAGACCAGAATACATCTATATCCCGAAGAGCCTTTTAGAACTTCACATTATATGATGACAAATTTTATTATTTTCCTTAAAGTTGAGCAGTTGACTTTTATGGTCCAAATGATAACCTGTTATTAACAAATGACTGAATTAACCGTGAAACTGCTCATTAAAATACAACATTGCAGCTATCAGTTGGAGAATATATAATAAAATTTTCAGGTGGTGTATCAGAAATGAAAGCTTTTATTTGTACTATAAAGAAAATGTAATTTTGCTGTTAATGCTATACTTTTTTATTGAAAATGTTTTATAACTTTGCTTTAAAAAATTTCTTATGAAACCATTTGCAAAGTACATACTTAATTTAATAAAATACTTTAGCCACCATCCAGTGTGAGGAAATCCTTCATTTGATGTGGTAGGGTTAGTGGTTTAAATATTCAAATATACTTTATGCATAATTCTGTAATTTCAAGGGGAAAGTGTCATAAACATTTCATTTCTGTACCACAACTTTTATTCTAGTTTAAATTATTTTGCTGTAGCAAGTAGGGTCCTCTTTTGAACCAGATAAATGGATTAGCTAGGTTTATTTCTCCACACCCTTGTATCTTTTGACTGACATCAAATTAAGAATTGTGTCTCTAAGGGACTCAAGCAATACTTTAATATTAAAGACCTTTGAACTTTATTTAATTCCAAAGCAGAATAATTCACTCATTTAGCAAGAACTTAAATGTGTGTGTGTGTGTGTGTGTGTGTGTGTGTGTGTGTATTTTTTAAAGATTTTATTGGGGAATTGAGGGAGGGGAACAGCGTTGGAGAATCGGGGAAGGGGAACAGACAGGTAGACAAATTGCTCTTTTGTTTTTCAGTCTAGTTGTGGAGGATGTCGCTTCACTGGCCCATGTTGGTATGATCATTAGCTCTTTCTGGGTGAGGTAATTGGTCGCCAGTCATTGGTCGGCTGCTCACGGTGGCTCACGGCAGCTCTCACCTGTTGCCGGCCTCTCATGCTGGCTGCCAGCCACTCACGTAGCTCATTGCAGCCCTGCTGCAGCCTACACTGTCGCCGGCGACTCACAGCAGCCCAGTTCCAGGTTGAGCTGTTGTTGTTCATCATCTTAGCTGTAGAGGGCGCAGCGTCACTGGCCCTCAATGTGGGATCCGAACCGCAGCTCTGCTGCTCAGAGCTGGTGCTTCCAAGTGAGCTCTTAACCAGCTGAGCCACTCGGGCCCGCCCTAAAAATTTAAGAGGTAAGACTTGAACCTAGGTTCTCTGACTTCTAGTATAGAGTACTCTTATTCATAACAGTAAGAGTAATTACTTAAAAAGAAGTAATATCCTATTATCTCTTACTGAAATAGATGTGGCTGCACAGTATTTGCCCATGAAAATCTGTCATTTATAAATCTGCCTTCCTCTTTTATTCAAAGGAAGCTGGTATAGGTTTTCCCAATGGCAAAGACAAAAATTTATTTCAATATAAAATTCCAGAGGTATAGAGTCTAGGACTGATGGGTGTGCTCTTTTACATGAATTTTGGGAGATCTGAGATCCTTTTAGCTCACCACTCTATCATACACAAGGTGTAGGCCTCATTTTCCTAACCCAGGGTGGGTGACTAGAGTTCTAACCATCACATCTACCTTCTCTTGGAGGAAGGACAAAGAAGGGAGCAATGGTCAAGTGCCAGCAATCTTTTATAGAAGATTTTTAGAAGCTGCCATAGAATTCTACTTATATCTTATTGGCCATAGCTTAGTCACGTGGTCACACCTAGTTGCAAGAGAGGCTGGGAAATTGTCTTTATTTTAGACTGCCATATGTTCTGCTAAAATTAGGGCTTTCTCTTGGAGGAAAGAGAATGGATATTAGGGGAATGAATAGCAGTCTCTGCCACATCATTTTTTTTTTTTTTTAAGATTTTATTGGGGAATTGGGGAAGGGGAATATCGTGTTTTTCCAGGACCCATCAGCTTCAAGTCTAGTTGCCGCTTTCAATCTAATTGGGGAGCAGGGGGGTGGCGCAGCCCACTATCCCATGCGGGAGTTGAAAGGCAACCTGTTAAGAGCTCGTGCTCTAACCAACAGCGCCACCCGGCCAGCCCTGCCTTGTGATTTTTGATCACTGAATACAAATGTAAAAAATAGTTCTTGATACACTTCTTCAACAGGCCTTTGTTGATGACTACCATGTGCTAGGAATAATAAAAGGGTAATCACCGTTGTATATATTTTAACTTAAATATTCAAATAATATTACTAAGACGTGGCTCATGGAATGGGCTGCCAGTTGATGACTGAACTGGTAATGGGATCACTTTTGATCTGATAACTGAGTGTGGCAACTAGATTAGGTATAAATTCTAGTGATACTGCTTAGTTAATATATTTGCATTATTGCTTTTGTGTTTTCTTAAACATTAATCACACCAATGTGTAATATCTCAGTACTTGGTATAAGTGATTTAAAGCTAAAACCAGGGTAGGGAGATGTAAATATGTGTATGTGACTGAAGAACTAGAAACAGCATAAGAAAGAACTGGAAGCACCAGGTTGGGAAGGAGGGGTAAGGAATTCTTTTTGGAGGTGGTGAATTTGAACTTTGCTCTCCTGATTGAAATGTTTCAGTGGCTTTCTGTGGGAAGAAGTTTAAACACTTCAAATTCATGGCTTTTATACATATATAACTATACAGTCATACCTTTCATAGGTTCTGGAGCACTCTAATCTATTTTTAAATTGAATTTGTTAGAGTTTTAATAGCTAATTAACTATTGACATTTTAATATTAAATTAATAAAGTGTAAGCAAATTCCTTAACACAAGGAACGACTATATTTTGGGATAGAGAAATAACAGAGAACTTGATCAATTGGCAGTTCTATTTCTGGTCAGATTCAGGAGCAGCTGCAGGGGATGGAGGTGGGGTAAAGAAATGAGGTGGAGTTATTTTCCAGCTTTATTGAGATACTAATCGACATAACATTGCATAAGTTTAAGGTGTACAATGTGATGATTTTATACATGTATATATTGTGAAATATTTACCACAATAAGATTAGTTAACGTATCCTTCACCTCATATAATTATCATTTTGTTATGAGAACATTAAAGCTCTACTATAGCAACTTTTAAGTATACAATATTATTAACTATAGTCACCATGCTGTACCTTAGATCCCTGGAACTTACTCATAACAGAAAGTTTGTACCCTTTGACTAACCCCATTTACCCTACCCCTCAGCCGCTGGCAACCACAACTTTACTCTGTTACTATGTTTAATATTTTTATTTCCACATATAAGTGAGATCATACAGTATTTGTCTTTCTCTCTCTGACTTATTTCGCTTAGCAGAATGCCCTCAAGGTCCATCTATGTTCTTGATAATGGCAAGATTTCCTCCTTTTTATGGCTGAATAATATTCCACTGTATATATACATGCCACATTTTCTTTATCCATTCATCCATTGATGGACACTTAGGTTGTTTCCATGCCTTGGCTATTGTGAATAATGCTGCAATAAACATAGGAGTCCAGATACCTCTTTGAGATACTGATTTTGTTTCCTTTGGATATATACACAGAAGTGTGATTGCTGGGTCATATGGTAGTTGTTTTTTAAAATTTTTTGAGGAACCTCTACTGTTTTCCATAGTGGCTGTACCAATTTACTTTGCCACCAGCAGTGTACCAGGGTTCTGTTTTCTCCATAAGCTTGCCAGCATTGGTATCTCTTACCTTTTTGATAATAGCCATTCTCATCAGTGTGGGGTGATCTCTCATTGTGGTTTTGATTGCATTCCTGATGATTAGAGATGTTGAGTACTTTTTCATATACTTGACCACTTGTATGTCTTTGGAGAAATGTCTATTCAAGTCCTGTGTTCATTTTAAAAATTGGATTGCTTGGTTTTTTTTGCTGTTGAGTTGTATGAGTTCCTTGTATATTTTGGATATTAGCCCCTTGTCAGATATATGATTTGCAAATATTCCTATTTCATATGTTGCCATTTAATTTTGTTGATTGTTTCCTTTGCTGTGCAGAAGCTTTTTAGTTTGATATAGTCCCACTTGTTGATTTTTGCTTTTGTTGCTTGTGCTTTTGGTGTCATATCTAAAAAAATCATTGCCAACACCGATGTCAAGGAGTTTACCTCCTGTGTTTTCTTCTAGTAGTTTTATGGTATGAGCCCATACTATTAGGGTTTTATGGATAGGCATAATCAATTATTAACTCCATTTCTAGCCTGTCTCCCCTCTCTGGAGGATGGGGAGTGAGGCTGAAAATTCCAGGCTTTGTCTCTGGTGACCAGCTCCCATGCAGTAGCTATCCAGGGTCCCACTCAGAGTTACCTCAATAGAATAAAAGAGGCTCCTACTACTCTTATCATTTAGGAATTTACAGGGGTTTTAGGAGCCTTGTGCCAGAGATGGTGTCAAAGACAAATACAGTAAAACGTTGTATTGCGAGTAACGTGGTTTGCGAGTGTTCCGCAAGATGAGCAAACATTTCTAATACATTTTAACGTGGTAAACGAGCGATGTCTTGCAATACGAGTAGTTTGTTTCTAGAACGAATTATGCTCACAAACCAAGGTATTACTGTATTAGAACAAGAGATGCTTCTAGTGTTCTTAACACTTAGGAAATTACAACGGTTTCAGAAGCTCTGTGCCAGGAATAGGGGTGGTGGGGAGCGGGGCAGAGACCCAATATGTATTTTCTATTATCTCACAGTGGTTATATTTTTTAAAGTTTTTACTTCTTGAAAAAGAGATACATCCTGAAATATTTACATAAAATGATATGATGTCTGGAATTTACTTGAAAATAAGATAAAGTGGGTGGGGTACTTATGAAATAAGATTGGCCTAAGTTGGTAAATGTTGAAACTAGGAGTTAATTATTTTATAATGTCTACTTTTGAATATATTTAAAACTCTATTATAAAAAATATTTTTAAAAAGTTGGTAGACGATCTGGAGAAGTGGACTCGACTTGGTTCTGGAAATGATTTCCAGGACACTGCAGAATTAACCTGTCGCGGTAGCTGCCATCTCTGCCATAATTAAAACGCGAGGAATCAGGTGGACACCTTGGCACCATTGCCACAACTCGCTCTCGGCATACCCAGAGCTGGTGACTAGACACCAGCAAAGTGTTGCAGAAAAACCTGACATCTCCATAATGATTTTTTGGAAGAATAAGCCGCAGCAGTAGATAGATGGCCTCCAACTTAATTCTGCCTCCCAAATCTCCTAAGAGTGTATCTAGTTGGTAGAAACTATTTTGTATCCGGATTTTTACCTGCAAAAGGGGTCTAGAAAATGTAGTTTTAAACTTTCTAGCCTCTACAGTAGCTTATTAGAAGCA